TATTACAGCCAGATTTGCACACGCTGTTTTGCCTGACACAATTAAAACTTTGCAGACAGTTTAGAGCTGCTTGGAAGGTCACTTTTTTGGTGATCAAAGGGAAAACATGCAAGTACAGTAATGTTGCAGTTACTACCCCCTGTGGGGGTGTCAGCAGTTTGGATACCCTTGGTGGATTTCACTGGCAATTTTTTTTGTTGTACTCGTAAATACAGAATTATGTTTTTTTAAAATGAGTTCATGTGCAAGTATTTTCATGCCATTGCTATGAACAGGAGGGACCCCAGTGTATTTTTACAGTGTGCAATAAATATTCGCTGAATGACTAGCGTGTTGGTAAGTTTATCTTCCAGCCGAATCGAGTTTTAAATCACAATCAAATGAATTTTTACATCAGTTGATAGGACTGTTTTATTGAAATAATATTCAGCTGTGGTTGAATTTACAGTTGTGATTTTAACCATACACTTCAAAGGAGCTTCTGTTTTTATAAATAAAACTGAAAAATACGCTGCAAAGAACTGTTTCAAGTGTGTGTTTACTTTTGTGGTTTGGTAATGTCTAGAAAATAGACTTTAAGAAATATTCATTTTTCTGATTGTACATAGGTGTTGAGGTGTTTGGTACAGTGAAAATGGTCATGCAGTAGCCATTCATCCTGTTTTGGGGGGGATTTTGTGTTGGTGTTTTTTTAATCTCAGTCTACCTAGTTCAGGACATGTTATTTCCTTTCTAATTGCATCACACAAAGAAGGGCAAGCACCTTTTGAATGTAAGGGATAATATTTAGATGTGTAAGCTGTTGGGGTTTGGCATGCAGGATTTAGAGCTGCTGTCTGTGCTGATTTTCTTAGAAAAGGTAAATAATACCTGGGAGCACTTTGGCCCCACCATGCTAAAATTTCTATTCTAGAGGAAGTACGAAGAAACAATTCATAGGTTTAACTCGCAGGCATGTCTCATAGAACAATAAAGTTCTGAACTAATTGCAGAGAAGTAATTTGCTCATCTTTTTCTGCTTTAAGGGACTTTAGAGGGAAGTGTGGTTGACGGTGCTTAAAGAAGTCTGCAGGAGAAAGGCAAGGTCACTGGAGGGAGTACAAGGTACAGAACAAAAGATGTATCACCTTATTAAAATTGGAAAAGAAAGACGTAATCTTAGATAAGTATGTAACTGAAGGTGCTTCTGGCAAGGTAACTGACACAGTTCCTTGAAATACAGACATCTCAAAGGTAACATTAGATATGTTTTTGCTGTTGGTTTATTAATTTTTAAAAGGGTGATTCGATCATTCTCAACATATTTACAAATGTGAGCCAAATTATCTAGGTATTTTTGGTCCAAAAATTAGGAGGACAGATACACTTGTGAAATTAAAAAGTTGCAGGCAGTGCTATGTTTTTATTCAGAGATCTAGGCAGTGTCAGTCCAGCTACATTACTGGTTTTGTCAATAGCAGTCACCTCCTCACAGTTAAAAACCTGTATCTTTCACCTCTGAGTGGATGTCAAAGGTGAGCTGTATTTCTGGCAGATGGTGAGAGATGAGTATCGGATCTGTGATTCTTACCTCAATCTCCAAAGTAATGGGACGGAAGCGTTCCTCTGGTAGGTTTGCTCCACAGTTGCATTAACTTTCAGGATATGTATTACATACTGCTCCTGTGCAGCTCTAACAGGTGTCTGTCCGCTCGGCTCCTGTCTGATGCTCCTGTTTGTGGCCTGAAGCTGCTGCAGACAGGCTCAGGCTGGCGCAGACAGGACTCTTGCAGCTCACTTCCCCAGCCACGGTTGCACCTTTCTGCCTGCTCTGAGAGCTCCCACCTGTGCAGTGGAAGGGCCATCAGCCTGGCCTCTGGAGCTCTTCCTACAATCTCTTTAGTTTTCTGTGACAGCTACAACCTTGTCTCTGGCCTGCAGAAGTGAGGGAAAGCTCAGAGCTGAAAGCGGGCAGGAGCAATAGGTTATAGCAGGATGGGGGAGAAGCAGAGTTTGCCCTTCTCTCTCGCAAGCTGGCCAGGCTCTCTGCTCTTGGGCCTTGGAACTGAGTTTATCTGGCATCTGCCATGAATCTTTCCTTCAGGAGGGAGGCAGGTGGCTGTACTACAGGGTCTCAAACGGAGGTCTTTTTCATAACTACTGGTCATTCGCCCATGCAAACCTCATGAAGTTCAACGAGGCCAAGGGCAGTGTCCTGCGCATAGGTCAGGGCAATCCCAAGCACAAGCACAGGCCGGGCGGAGAATGGATGAAGAGCAGCCCAGGGGAGAAGGACTTGAGAGTGATGGTTGATGAGAAGCTCAACATGAGCCGGCCATGTGCGCTGGCAGCCCAGAAAGCCAACTGTATCCTGGGCTGCATCCAAAGGAGTGTGGCCATCAGGTCGAGGGAGGGGATTCCTTCTGCTCTGCTCTCATGAGACCCCACCTGCAGTGCTGCGTTCAGCTCTGGAGTCCCCCACATCAGAAGGACATGGAGCTGTTGGAGTGAGTCTGGAGAAGGGCCACGAACATGAACCGAGGGCTGGAGCACCTCTGCTATGAAGACAGGCTGAGAGAGTTGGGGCTGTTGAGCCTGGAGAAGAGAAGGCTCAAGGCATGCCTTCCAGCAGCCTTCTAGTACCTAAAGAGGCTACAAGAAAGTTGAAGAGGGGCTTTTTACAAGGGTATGTATTGATAGGACAAGGGGCAACGGCTTTAAACTGAAAGAGGGCAGATTTCAATTAGATCTAAGGAAGAAATTTTTCACTCAGAGGGTGGTGAGGCACTTGGAACAGGTTGCCCAGAGAAGTTGTGGCTGCCCCATCCCTGGAAGTGTTCAAGGCCAGGTTGGATGAGGCTTTGGGCAGCCTGATCTAGTGAAAGGTATTGGTGCCCATGGCAGGGGAGTTGGAACTAGATAATTTTTCAGGTCCCTTCCAGCCCAAACCATTCTGTGATTCTGTGTCCAAAGATGCAGTCTGAACTCCTTCCTACTACAGGCAAGGACTGAATGACTGGAATTTTCAAACTCTGCTGAAATTCTGCTACATTAGAATTAGCTGAATTGCCCACAGCCCCTGCTGCTGTGCTCTGGCCTGGCTCGAACACAGTAAGTTGTTGGAGTACTGCTGCTTTAGATGCCATAACTGCTAGTAAGTATTTTTGCAATATTGAAAGCTGAAACAGTTTGAGGGTTTATAGTGCGATTACTTTGTCTTGAATCCATCCTCACGACCTCACAGCTCTCTTCATTCCTTTATTCTCTTATGTAGATGGTTAGTGAAGTTTTTAATAACTTGTAACATTTTTATTATTAGTCATTGTGAGTTTATTTATTTTGCTTTATGTTTGCAATTTTTGAAGTGGGATTGAATGGATTTTATTTTTTTTCCCAGTCTTTGTAGGTTCTACACCTTTCCCTGTCTATGAAATAAATCTATCTTGGATGGTTATTCATTTAGATAAATTTGAAGTCTTTTCTTAGAAGTTTTTATTGACTGATGAAGTGGCAGGAAAGGAGTAATTTCCAGACAGGCACTGACTTGCTCCATTGTATAAGAGAAGGATGAATGTTCAGAAGATTTCAAATAGCTGCACAGTGCATCCAGCTGCTCTGCATTTGTAAGGACATTTTTCTTTGTTACAGCTGGCTTCATCTGTCTTACCGTTTGTGCAGTGAACAAGCCGTATCAAGCCTGTAGGCCTTGTTTAAACAGCACAGTCAGAGATTTATGATGTCTATTATTGAGATCAATGTAGCATGTGTATCACTGTTAGGTGGCGTTTACTTTGGACGTTCTGTGAGCCTTGATTAGCATGAGGTTTATGTGAAGTATGTATTGAACAAGGTAGGGCTTCACAGCTCAGACTGTTTGTGGATATTACTGAGATTGCAATCCTAGAGAGACAATTCCTGACTCTCTAGCTCTGTTCATTGCAGATACTATCAGGAAGTGCCTGGGTTTGAGAAAGCGTGCTGGTACTCCTCATTCAGCGGAGTCAGACTAGAACCCTTTTGCAGTTGCTCTTTTGTCTTCTCCCTCATTTGCTTTAGATGCCAAGATACAACAACATTATAAAAACTATGTGGTGGCTCAGGGGAACAAATCTCACTGCCCTTCAGTGCCCAGGCAGGAGGTGGCTTGTCATAGCAACACTTCTGATCTGTGTCCGTACATCACCTTCCTGCACCTGATTGTGCAGCCATGTAAGTGCAGGTCACAGTCATAGAATCTCTTAAGTCGTGTCATCCCTGTCTTCACCGCATGTCTGCAATCTGGGTGTAAAGCCTTGACATCATTGACAACCATTAATGTTAACCACCTGTGCTGTGCTTGGTGATAATCAGATAAAATTCTTAAAGCCTGTGCTATGCATAGGCAACCCTGTTGTCGTGGGCAGCTGGGTACTAGGTGAGGTGCTGCAAAGAAATAGATTTGTGGATCTTTCTTTAGGACTAGTGACCAAGACAAACAGCTCTCTCCCTCCAGTGGTAATGGGAGGAAATGCTTGATCCTGACACATGCTTATTGTTTTTGTGGTGCCTTGGGGATGGCATGAAAGGACTGGGCACTGTTAAACTGCCATCCCTCACCGGCTCAGCATCATCAGGAAACGAAGCAATGACCCATTCTTCCTGGTACCCCAATCTACATCACGTGACCAAGTGACAGCGGAGAAAGTTCTCTTGCCTCTGGACTTAGATGCAATTGAGGCATCGCTCTTCTGGGAGGTTTCACGGGATGCCATGGGAATCGTGCTTCCCCTTCGTGTTGCATATTTATCTTTGTCCCATCACTTTCTTCCTATTGTGCTGAACTCTAAGAAAATACTACACTGCTCACAGCATAATTGCAAAACATCAAGAATTTTATTAATTTCCAAGTAGCATAGAGTCTATAGTTAGGAGCTGTCTTCCTGTTTCTTCATTCTCATCTTAAATCAAGCAAATCTTTTTACATCTTTTCAGACGTCTGTATAAATTATGCAGCCAAAGTCAGGGAGGGTTTCTTCTCCTGTTTACACACAATACTTCCAGAAGCACTCGGAAAGATTCCCACGTTTCTTGTACTGTTTCCTGTCCTTGCTCAAGAAGCGGCCCAGCAAAGCAATTCGAGGATGATTTCCATAGAAAGTCTGAAGTCAAAAAGCATTACAGAGGTTACTGTTGGATGGTAAATGCTCCCAGTGGGAAAGTACACTCTTCATTGCCCCAACTGGCCACCCAGCCCTGTGTTCCGACTGGCAGAAGGAGAAGTGGTTGCCCAGTGTGCTCTCTGATTTAAATGATGCACTAAAACTAGTCCCTGTCTTCTACCTCTGCATTTAATTCAGCAGGCAAGTGAACAGGAATGATGTTCTCCATTTACCTAATGGTTCATAACAAATCCGATAATACTGCGTAGCCTATGTTGTAGCAGGGGAAAAAAAAAATACATGCAGCTAATACTGGTTAATGTACTGGCCTGGCACTGTCAGAAATTTAGAAAGCTGTTTTTCTGGGGGAAGAAAAGGGTGAGGGATTTAGAATGAAATGCTCTGGATTACTCACTGTCTTTTCTTATTTCTTTTTTTTCTTCTTTTTTTTTTCCTCCCCTGCTTATCTAACTGCTAAGCAATTCTAGCTTCCAGAACACTGTGGCATGCTTTAGTCTATACTGTTTATGAAGTCTGTGGATCTTAAATGATGTCTTGGTAAGAATTCCATGTAGTTAAAAATGTGGAGTCTTTTTTTTCTTGTTTCAGTGACAGATGGTCATTTACTTACCTCTTTGATATTTTCCCTTGGGTTGTAGCTGCTGGGGCTAAGACCTGGGAGAGTGGAGACATAATGAAAGGTTATACCATTTAGAAGTTGTGAACCTACACAAGTCATTTTTGTGTGCCGTAATGCTATAGCCAGCAGAAGTCTTGAACAGGAATGTTCAGAGCACCAGACAGAAAACTCTTTTGCTGCAGCACAGCCAGCTCTTCTTGTGACACGCAGTTCCAGCAGGATCTGGGACCCTGAAGATGCAAACTGTAGTGCTCTCTTAAGCAGACATCTCTTATGTCTGCTGTCCCCCAAACCATCTATTGCTGTTGATTGTGCACTCTCTGCAAGTACCGGTGTTTTTTAAGACACTGCACTATTTTGTTTCGTCTGCTAGCTCCTTCTAGGCCAATCTTTGCCTTGCCTCAGTTTTACCATATGGAGATCTTGCTAAACTAATTTAGAGACTTTTCCAGCTCATATTGAACTGCAGGTATGGCTGCTCAGCGGGTCTCCCCAAGATCCCAGTAAACTAAATGACAGCTGTCGGTTGCCTACACATAATGTTGTATTTCAGTAAATACGCAGGAGTTGGGGCACAGTATCTGTGGGAAGCTGGACATGCAAACCATGGGCACTGTCCCGTAAATTGCTGTGGTAAATCCTCACCTGCTTTGTTGTCTTCAGTCAGTGTGCCCAAGAGCTCTGGCAGAAACTGAAGCAGGGAAGTGCTTTCTAGGCTGCCCAACCGCTCCAGATTTAATCTCGAATCTTCATCAGCTGCAAATCGAAGAGGACAGAATCAGGTATACGGTAAGAATCTTTTGCCTTGAATCTCTATTTCAATCTGTCTTGGATGATTTCTGATCAGGTCTGCTGGCCCCACCTGTTGAAGAGTATCATGAAATCACCTATCATTCATGCTCATTTAATGAATATAATAAGGGATAGCTGTGGTGTTTTTTTCCTTCCAAAGCTTTGAGAGAAAATACCTTCCTGATGGTAATCTCAGATTCTCATTTATCTGGCAGATCTTTCTTTAAGAAAGTTTTTTGACCAACAGCAGCCCCTCCCATTGCTTAGGGAACTCACAAGCTAATCCTTCTGGTACCCAGCTGTAGGCAGCCTAGACTTGTATATTATTTATTTATTTTATCAACTAGTTCCTATGCTGGAGCTTTTCTATGAATAAAGACAAAACTTCCGGTTCTTAACCTGCTCAGTTTCCCAA